TACATGACACGGAAGTTGACCATAGAGCAGAACTCCTCCCACAATGTAGGCAGTCCATCCACTGAAAAGACCCCTCGTTTGAGGTAGGGGTACTCGGTAGGCTCAGTCAGTGCCTCAATGTCGATTACTGCTGGAGAGATATACCTTTTTGCCAAGCTGATCATGTCAAGCCAACTCATGCCATCTGTGAGGAGAGAAGGAACAAGAGGCTTGGGATAGTCGGTATAAAGCTTTGGCCCAAAGCTGCAGCTCAACGTAGCACCACTCTCATCGAGCTCCCTCTCTCTCTGCTCGAGGTATTTGGTGGCAGAGATCCAGACTGAATCAAAATGCTCATGAGCCTCCTTGCCCTTCTTCAGGTAAGGCCTCAGATTGTGGATGGTACCATCAGCGAAACTGGTCTGGACAACGAAGATTGACAGATKTCCTCGTCTAAAACCAGTAGCATTGACATACTGATAGCGAAAAGCCTCCTCGCATGAGATCTGATTGAGATTAGTCAGCACTGTCTYGYTGACTRGAACAGATTGCACTGTACTCATGACAAGGAAGTCTGATCCCTACTGATAAAATTTTGACTTGATTGTTGATTTAATTTGCTAAACTAAATGCTGAAATGCCTGCTGAACGGTTGATATGGTTTCTAATCCGATTGTTAATCTGATAGCTAATCTGACAGTTAACCGAATGATCACGAAGTACCGATTGAATGATTGCTGAGATGTAGACTGATTGATTGCTGAGATGAAAACTGAATTATTGTTGAGATGTAGACTGAATAATTGCTGAGATGAAAACTGAATGATTGTTGAGATGTAGACTGAATGATTGCTGAGATGAAAACTGAAGGCACGCTGTTCTGGGAACTGATTCTGATACTGATTCTGAAAACAGGTTACGAAAACGGATTCCGAAAAATGATTCCGAAAAATAATCAGGGGATCAGGGGCTGATTGACTTACAACCAGGAACTGAATGAATGCCGACCGAGAGCAGAATATCACTTGTCTGATTGTCAATTAAAAAAAAAAACGGTCGAGTGCCACTTCAAAACCAACTGATGCAGTTATCCTGCATATTTTGTTGATATACTGTGTACCCCGCTATGATCTGTTTCTAGGACTGTTTTGTTTTATCCATTCTGTCTCTGTCTGATGCGAACTTATTCTCAGGATTAAAAACTAAACCCTATTACTGGTTTCTAGCAGCCACCCTCCTTGCTTCCTCAATGGATACCACAGATGAGAGGGTGCTATGTAATCTCCCGTCTGATCCATAGATGTAACAAGTGTACTCAATGAGTGTTTGGTCCTTTACCAGTGATAGTGCATACTCCGTCATGGAAGGTCTTTGACGATAAAAATCTTGTGCTACTTTCTCTTCCCAGCCTTCAATTCTGTCCCAGAATAGAGTGCACGTCACCCTCTGCATGTTCTCGCTCCCCATCTCTCTAAGGAAAACTACAGCATTGCGAGTGACGCAATTCTACTTCCCTAAACTCAGCTCTGTTTTGCAACCTCTAGTGATTCCCCTACTTATCCAGTTATTCCAGCTAATAGGGTGGGGCACACTGTCAAAACGAGTCAGATTCAACCCCCTAATACCGCTCATTTCATAGCTCAAACTGCGTGCTCACCCCCCTTGCTCGCTGGTTCTCCGACCAGATAAGCTTATCTGTGACACCCAATTGCTGCTGACCGTCCGATTTCAGAACGACAAGGGCGAGGACTATTCTTGATACTGATAGGTCACACGTGCACTAGAAGTAATGAGTCGTGTCTCATTTGCTCTTACCTGACCATTGCACGAAGGTTATTATGAGAATCTACATGCCAATAACTTGTTCTTGCGACGAACGACGTCAATGGTTTACTTCAGTTTCCTTAATACGAAAACCCCCAAGATTTATCGTTTTGAGTATAACTTACTCCAACGGAGTAGAGCCTCARAGCAAAAGGGGATCTTTCCTCAGTGAAGCATATCTGCTCCTGAGGTCATATATCTCTGAGCAGGGCACGCAGGCACCTGTCACAATGGCWCTGAGTACGAGAGATGAGGTCTGTATATGTCGTCCAAAGCACAAATAGGCTATCCAGAGTTTCACGAGTAGAACARTAAGCTCCCATGAACACGACCAAAAAGCTTCCACGTTTAATACAAGATCTTCAAGCTTAGGCTCTTGCTACTGGACGAAGAGGTTCTCGGCGAGGAATGTCTGTATTGAGTCATATGGCTCTAGACTTGACATTCAAAATCGACATAAATACTTCGATTACAGGCGCTTTCCTGTTCGTACGTTGTGCTATTCATGTCTGAGAGTTACTTCTCATATTTGTCCGTTCAGATATTCCGTGATGTCTTGTCTATACTAGACCACAGTAATAAGAGTTTTCCAGTCGCTAAACCATCCAGTTCGCCCACAACTGTTTTTCCCAGGAGATATGCTCCGTGCCCCCTTTTACATTTTTGGGGCTATCTGGAACAGTGGCCATCAAGATAAACCCCTTTTATTGTTATTGCTGGTAAATACACCTTCGGAGATGAAATCAAGAGCTGCATTTATTTAAATATATACATATATATATACATGCATTTGTAGACACACATATATATATATATATACATATAGCTCAAAGTCCCTCTACTTCGCCATTAAGTCGGGCCCAGAGGTAGAAGTCCAATTCCCACTTTCTCTGTGGGCTTTCTCAGTCAAAACTTTATCAGACGCCCGGTGCAGCCAAAACTCATTCACGCCTATGGCCTATCTGTTCGCCAACTGATAGTCGAATAGCTCAGTTAAAGTCAAGCATTCTTAGGTCTCCCCTCCGCTAATCCCCGTCTAGCATGAGTTTGACCAGGAGATAARCAATTTTCCTTAGGACTATCTTTTTCTTGCTYATCGCTCATTATAGAAGGGAAATAAAGTACCCAAAGAAAATTACCACGGCAAGCTTTCAACTCATCTCACACCGTTGAGAARAGCTGTATTGCARCTTTTCTTTGCATGGAAAATATCAGAACAAGCTCCCAAACCAGGGCTTCCGTCAGGGAAAAGAGGGGTACTCTATAAAACGCRAAATACGGAAGACCCAAACAAAGGCAGTACCGATTCCATCCGATTTTTCAGCGTTTCATGTTTCTCAATATTACCAGCTATAATTCACCATTTTCTTCCTAGCTTTCCATTCAACCCACTAACAAACYGCTTWAATTTACACGACAAGCAGTAGTAAAAGGTTCGCTAAAACTCTGGTCAGGGGCCCAACCGTGAATTCCAATTAGCAGCTCACTCATACCGTAGTAACCAGTAATACTTAGCTGTCATCCGAACCTATTTCTCGCCACTTCSCTGCCAGCTCTCTCAACAACAGTGAGGGCTGGTTCAAGGCACATAAGGCTCAAACTTGCGTCCGTAGTCGGTCGCGCGTTAGCCCTCTTGGCCCAAAGACTCTGATAGAGCAGMAATTAATGAGGATAGCGATGGAAAAACAACCGTCGAAATCAAGAATACTTCAATCCAGGTACCAATCAGCAACTCCCGAAGCAATTTAACCAATGATCTCAGGTAGACGCTCTCTTAGTGACTAAACCAATCAACATGCTAAACTTCTAACACAGACGGTCTTGATAGGACTGGGTGCTTGCTCCGAAGACCTTCATAAACTCTCTTACTCATAACAAACAACGATGGCTACCATGCACAGTCTTATGACTTCGYAGGATCCGAAGAAGATCATGTTTGACAATCTTATTTCAAATCCATGGTCTACAGGCCTCTCCGGTATTCCCTGCTAATAATGCTCCATCCCAATACCAGTTAAACCTTCCCCCCTCAAAACAGCACATCGAACCCATACAGAAGCCTTCTCTCCACAATGACTACTCAGGTCGCTCGCTTGTAACTACCGCGTTGTAGCCARACAACACTCCTAAGAACARTAATCATCACTGAAGYCATTCACAGAGGAAAGTTCGGGCTTTCCACCCCAGGCGCAACCCAACTTCTAGATGTCATAACCCACCTTGGAAGCATGGGGGTTCGTCTGGATAACAAGGTCGGTTGCCTGGAAAAGGTTGAAAAGGCGCGTATTGCAGCACTCAAGCTTCCCTGAGCGAGTCGTCAATTAGCTACCRTCATGTCGTCAACTAGTCTTCTTCTCCAACGCAATTAGCCACGCGCGCTTAGTCCCCTCATGTCTCTCTCTTCCCCGACAGTCATCCGTAACCGTCTCACTTTCTCTTTTCTTTCTGGGTCTACCCTGCGTAAAGTTACACACACGTGTCGTCGCCTGCCTCTCTTTTCCCGAGTCCAACACATAAAGACTCCCGCATTTCGCCTGCTCACTAGACCAGTATTGGCGTCTGCCCAGACGTCGCRYTGCATTGGCGATCTCCTCTCTTGTCACTAGCCATCCTCTTCTTTGAGACTCTCCCGCGCGTGCTGACCTGTGTGGCACTTCTCCCCGTTCCACTCGTCATAACCTTTGAGCGACTCTCCTTCACTCACACACATCGCTTGTCACAGTCACCCTTCTGGCTAGTCTCTCCACTCCGGGCCTTCTTCTCTCCCCAGYCACGCRWCCYGCTCATATGCGTCAAGGAAGAAGAGTAAATATCAGATGTTGAGCATGCTCAYGTAATCTGTCCGCGACATGATCGAATAGCTGGCCAACCATTTTTGGGGCACATCAGAGCTCCTTGGAAGCTCTCTACGRCGATCCCCTCAGGAAGCTATCCCCCACTGGTTATCTTGACAGCACACAGAAATGCCAAAACGCGYTGGGCCCTCAGTCACCCGCGAGACGCCAGCCGTTGACCACTCTCTCGCTCCCCAGACCACGCCATCTATCGCGCGTGTGCTCGTGTAACTCTCTTTTCTTGTCTCTCGGACTAGCACGTGTTGACCCTCTGCGGACGCTCCCTTCTCACACGCATCCTTTCCCCCTGTTTTGCTTCTCACTCGTCCCGCGGCCTCTGGGCGTCAGCTGTCAAGAGCTGACCTCAGGTCCCTCTTCAACCGGCCTCACGGCCCGGTGATGCCTCTGGATCTCGCCTGGTCTATTCCAGGACCTGAGATCTGTCTCCCGGTCTCCCGCTTCGCCCATTTCACTCTCACCGCCTGAGTCCCTGTCCACGTGGGCCTGTTCCAGGTCCGCTGTGTCCATTGAGGTCTCGGTCTCATGATACGAGACCGTTACCTGCAACCTTGCAGTCACTCCGTCCCTCCTGCAACGCCTCTCCGCACAGTCTTTTGCCTCCGTTATCGCATCCTGTAGTTTTCCGTCCGTCCGCATCTCCACTTCTTTTGCCCCTTCCACGTTAATCTTCATCTTCACTTCATCTCCCCCGTCGTAGTTGAGCATGACTGTGATCCAGGGCCCTTCCCCAGACATGGGYCTCCACCGRGCCTGGTGGTACCARTATCCGGGCCTATACCCATGCAACGCCATAGCTAGGCTCAGTCCGATAAACAGCGCACCGGCCCCRCCTACTGACCCGAATAACYAGTACCCACTACTGGGTACACAKACAGGGCCTTCAGATGGGCTTACACGTCCACCTCACCACTTCGTTCCCCCCTTCATCGACTAGGCTGCAATCGCATAGCGAGACCGTCTGAGCTCTCACCGTATGAGCCAGTCCTCCCTTCTTTATAGGATCGCTGTCTATTGCATTTCCAAACTCAACATAGATAGCCCCGCTATTTTCTTGCCAATCTGTGTTCTTGCTTCGACCAGACTTTTCCTTTTTTTTTTTTTTCTTTTTTTTTTTTTAATTAGGTGAAACAAAAATTAAAATGAGAATGAGAATAAAATCAAAATAAAATAAGTGAAACAGCAAGGAAGGAAAGAACAAGAGACATAATCGTCAACGGTCATATCACTAGCTCCCTCTTGGGCTCGGATGTGACCTGCAGACTCAACGTGGAGGTCCCATAACGGGTTACTAGTGGACGCCCGCCCTTCTTTAAAACCTGCAGCCTAACTTACGACTATCGGGTACCCGTGTCCGATGGCAAGGAGGGGGCTTATGACCCTCCACAGGGGGGTGATAGGCTCCCTACCAATGCGGCCGYGGGTCGCCCCTCTTTTGAGGTCCTGCAACGCGACACTCAGTCGAACAAGCTCAGAGCAAACAGTATACGAGGAGTCGGCCCACTTAGGCCGCACAAAATAGCTCAAGCYAGAATTTCCAACCGTTGGCTTTCCTGTGAAGTGACAGGCTAAGGGCAAACCGAATCGGACGATCGAGCGAAAGAAAACTAAGYAACAATAGAGAAAAGGAAAAGATGGCGTTTCAAAATTCTGCTGCGCCGCAGCCTCCCCCGAACGGCGATACGAGCCCACACACAAATCTAAAACCCGACTTCCAATCTTTTCCCTTCCTTTTYCCCCYTTTTCTTATTTTTCTCCCTTCAGTCCTCTCTGTATCTGCCCCCTTAACCTGGCCACTGGGATYTCACCGCGAGGTTCGGACGAACAGGTCTGRTATAGGCGATATACAAGGGGTCAGTAAAACCCAGGCCATAAGACCGCAGTTACAGTCCGAAAACCCGAATCGGCGGCCCTTTCCCTACGAAGTGACAGATCGACAGGCGGAAAACCGAAAATAGGAATTTTAAGTAATAATCACAATAAAATAATAGCRATAATGATGACGRCATTTCAAATTTGGAAAGGAAACCATAGCATCACAGCGACCTGAGGCCACCAGATTTCCCCACACAAAAGAAAACGAGTTTAAGTTTGACGCTTTTTCTTTTTTTTCTTTTTCTCTTTTCCTTTCCCCGACAGCGACTTCTACCCCCTTGCACCTAACCCATAACTTGGCAACAGGGCACTCGGTGCGCAGCAGAAAAGACTGCGCCAACCCTTTCGCCTTTGCGTCCCAGGGCAGACCCGGCGGCTACCACGGCCACAGGCCGGTTGTGCTCTGCTGTACAGCAGGGCGCCGAGCCTGCGTGGAACAATKGAAAGCCCTGTGGCGCACCTTTTGTTGAGGCAAGCACCAAACAGGGCCGGTCCACGTCATGGTACCGCCCAGGTACCAGGGAATTTTTAATTCCGGAACATACCCATAGGCCCCACATAGGTCACGACACCGAGACAAAGGGCAACACCTGGCAGGGACCTGGTACACAGAGGAGGGCCGGGACACCGCGCCCTTCGACATAATACCAAACCCCCACCCAGTGTCCCCGCTGGGTCAAAATGGATTACGCTCCTAGTATAAAACCAGAGTAAACAAGTAGCTTTCTCATTCATTCCTACTTGTGACTTGCGGTAACATTCATACTGTGCCTTAGCGCAATCAGTTTTCCGTTTTCGCTTTGCGCCATCCTTTTCCTCTGTGATAGGTTTCTTTTATGTGCTAGGCTCCTCTCCTAGCGTTCATCTTCTCTTTGCGCTTGCTTTTTCTTTTAGCGCTCACCTTCTCTCTCACGTAACATGCTGTAGTCTCTCGTAGTCGGCGCAGGTTATTCTCTTTATTTCTCTTGGTAATTTTTCGCTTCCGTTTTCAGGATCCATCTCATCATCATAGACTTCACTCATACAACCTTCTCGGTCATAGCCTTTGGCGCTAAATTCCGTCCTTTATCTTCTCTTTTAACAGCCATCTCACGCGCATCATGTCTGAGGCACGCCGCAGACAAGCTAGAGGGAGAGGAGGAAGAGGAGGGAAAGCAAAAGAAGAACCGCCAGTTAGGGCTCGACGGGATTATAGCTCAGAGGAGGAGGAAGAGGAGGAGCCACGAGGCTACGACTGTTTAAGGCCATACCCTCGCTACTCGTTAGGAGGGTGGTACGAGAGGACTCCATCTCCTAACAGGTAGGAGTTGCTTCGCAAGAAATTCGATGTGCGTTATGGCACACTCAGCGCCTCTTCTCCTCCTTATATACCCAGAGCTCCTTCCACCCCTGCCGTAAGCAAGGCTATAGTGCCGGCTCCTCCACCTTCTGCCCCATGCATAGCTTCTTCGCCCTCTCACCCCAATAGTTGCGTTCTCTTTAGCATCTTCTTCCTTCTCTTTCTTTTCCAGCTCAAACTCATGGCTATCTTTTATGTCTTATATAAGCATGACTTCTTCTCAGCCTTTTGAGTCCGATTTTGGCTCGTAAAATTTCCAGTTCAGTCCACTTCATAGCGTCCCAGACCTGAGAGTTTTGGCTTCCTTAAGGCGAGGGACGCAAATTCCTCGTGAACCAGGCCGCTTGTCGGCCACCAAGTAAAATTTTAAGAAGGATTTTGTCTACTTGTTTGACTTGTTCAACTGTTGGTTTTTCACATGGAGGTTACCTTAGCTCCTGATCAGGCATCTATGCCAGGGATGACACCGGTAACGAGGATACTCACTCTGCCTGCCATGCTGGGAATAGGGCATACCAAACCCTCTTTTCTGTTCTCTGGTCTGAGTGAGACGTCTTCTCAACTTCTCGAGCACCTGATGGGGATACCAAACCCTTGTTTTCTTTCTCTGGTCTGAGTGAGGCGTCTCCTCAACTTCTCAGATAAAAGGGTAGGGGATACCAAACCCCTTTTCCTTTTCTCTGGCCTGAAGAACTTTAAACAAGTCTTTGTATTCCTGCAAAATAGAAAATTCTACACAACAAATCCCGGCCCCAGCAGGCAGACCCCCTGACAACCAGCAGTCAAGCATTAATAAAATAAAATGAAACCCATAAATAAAATAATAAATAGTGAATTATAAATACCACACAACAACTTCTCATACCCAGGAATCATTGATTGCCTTAGTTTTGGCCTACCACTGGCTAGGAATGTCGGACGTCCCGTCAGTCTGACATACCTCATTCGGTCCGCCTCAGGCCAGGACTAGTCAGACCATCTGTCTTGACAGCCCCTTTGACCTGCCTCCAGGTCAGGACCAATCATACCCACTACTCGAGTATGACAGCCCTTTGGCACTCTCGCCAGGACACCCAGACTATTGCGGGTCTGGTCACCCTATGACAGTAGACGTCCCGTCAGTCTGACTGTCCCGAACCCGGATTTGTTCACTGCGGTCAGGGACCGACTCACCTACCAGTTTCTGGCCAAGGGCGCTGGCTACCCCGCCCAGATTTTTGAACGTGGGACCCGGTCTAACCCCAGTTCTAGGCTCTGCCTAACCTCACTGGATTGCCACCTCTAACTGCGGTAGGGTTACAGCTGACCCCTTTCGACCTCATAGGCCAGACTCCCGGAGTCTTAGCCTCAGTCGACTACGGAATTCGACGCTCGTGTCGGGGACCTGCTGACCCCGCCAGATTGCAACCTACTGTGGTAAGGCTCTGGCTGGCCCCGGCAATCAAAGCACCCTTAAGCTAGAGAAGAGAGTCCCAGGCACTGACAATCAAGCAAGCATATCATAACCCACAAGCAGACTGCCATGCCCCATAACAGGACAAACATTTCTCAAGAGACCTCCCTTCAGTCTCAAGAGGCACTTAACAATAACATGCTAGCCAACACTAAGAGTTCGCAAGAGACCTCCCTTCGGCCTCAAGCAAAAACTTAGTGCTAGCCCCAGAGAGGTCCCTTCTCTCAACTGGGATTTCTTTTCCAAGAGACGTCCCGCCAGTCTCAAGGAAATACTGAAACACTGATCTCAGAGAGGTCCCTTCCCTCATCCGAGCGAAGACAGGTCCTTAGCCAAAGGCACGAAGTCCCTCTACTGACCACTCTCAGTCAAGTAGAGCTGAACTTCTTTATACCTGCTTTCATCTGAATCTCTTGGATGGGCATTTTACTCAGAGACTCGAAGTCCTTCTGCTGATAACTCTTAGTCAGACAGAACTGAACTTCCTCATGCCCACCATGCTCTCCTCTTTATCTTAGGATAATACTAATCATATCTTTTGATGTGCCACAGCCATGAGCCTCTCAAATCTTTGACACTGTGTCAATACTTAAGAAACTGATTTTACAGTTATCTCCCCACTCTCAGGGACTTGACACTCATGGAATGACTGTAACACTGCATCAAAAGACCTGACTTAGTCGTTTTGCTGAAATACTGAATAAAAGGTTTGCTGAAAACTTAGATATTGAAGCTGAGATGTTGAAACTGAAAACTGGAATTAAATTACCAAAACTTGAAATGACGAAACTGAAGCTCTGAAATTAAAATGTTGAATCTGAAACGCTGAATCCGAAATGCTGAATTGACTATGCATGAATGATCTGATTCCACTGAAACCGAGTCTTGTCGTCTCAGCATCTCATTGTACTCTTTCTCTTAGTCCTCTATGACTGTTTTCTTACTTGGATGGCTGACTTCTCTTTCCTCTCTTTGAAGTCACTGTAGGGATCAAGTCAGGATCTCTGAAAATAAACTTACGAAGTCTTGACCCTGACACCATGTCGTAAACTCTGGATCCATCTATCTCTGAAATCTCACAAACTTTGCCCTCTGCTTCCCCTGTGATTCTGTAGGGACCAAGCCATCTGGGCTCCAATCTTTTAATCCATTGCGTCTCAAGGGAACTGTCAAACAGAAGGACAACATCTCCAATCTTCAATTTCTCTTTTCTTATATATCTTTTTTTGTTCCATCTTTCTTGATCTGATAGCCTGCTGGATGCCACCCTTTCTGCAGCATCCATCACTGCCTGATCAACTTCTGATATTTGCTTCATCCGGATCTGAAGAAGCTCTGAAATAAAATATTCTCTGTCACTTTCTTGACTTGACCATGTCTTGACAATACTTTCAATTGGCAATGTAGCATATCGGCCATACCACAGAGTAAATGGCGCATATCCAGTAGTTCTCTTGACTGTAATATTGTCAGCATATACAGCAGCTCTCAATACCTTTGGACAATTGTTGAGATTCCATTCACACCACTTAGCCAATGAATCCTTCAGGGTTCTGTGACCTCTTTCAACAGGCGCATTCGCTTGAGGATGGTAAGTAGTCACATAACGAATCCTGACACCCAATCTGAGTGTAACTCTTCTGACAACCTCGTTTCTGAACTCTAATCCTCTGTCTGAGACAAATTCTTTGATAAAAGGATACCTGAGATAAACTTCCTCTATCAAATCGGCCACTTGTTCGGCTGTCTTCCTTTTCAGAGTTTTTGCCTCAACGTATCCAAAGAAATTATCTCTCATGTTTAGTATGTATCTCATCCCACCCTTGCCTGAAGGCATAGTGATGAGATCCAGATGAACTCTGCTACCTGGTTCTACCAGGATTGTAGGGAATAGGGGCTCAATCATCCTTGTGGTAGACCTCTTCTGACATAGGACACATGATTTACAGTATCTGAAAATCATGTCTCTCATGCCAGGCCAAAAGTAGAGTTTGACAGTCTTGGAGTAGGTTGCCTCAGCAGCCCTATGGCCACCAGCAACCCCCTCGTGTAGGGCAGCAATTATCTCTAACTGCCTCTCTTTGCCACAGACCACTCTTAGTAGATGTAGGCCTCCTCTACCATCCACGAAGAGATGTCCTCTCTTTAGTCTGAATTTCTTCCTTGAATCTTTACAATAATATTCTTTTAGCTGCTCCTTTTCCATCTTCTTGTCAATCTCTTGATAACTTTCATCATATTCTTCAAAGAAGAAAAATATATCTTCTTCCTTCTTTTCACTCTCCTCTTCTTCCTTTGAAACTGAACTTTCCCCAATCTCATGAGCAGCCACTGCTGCAGCATTAATTTTAGCATACCAATCATTTGGTTCATCTTCCTCTTCGTTCCCAAGAACCAATTCGTAAATGTACGCACTAGGGATCTCTCCCCAGCTGTCTCTTTCTTCTGGTCATGGATTCCACTTGTAGGAGCATGGCACTTCATAGTCCTCATCATCTTTCTCATTAAGAAAATTATCAACATAGGCAAATTCTTCAATTGTTTCATTCACATCTTCTTCTTCCTCTTCTCGCCACTCAATCCGGCTTAAGCCATCTGCTCTGTTTTTTTCAGTGGGGATCTTTTCCAGCTTAAAATCATATGTCCAGATGAAGGCGATCCATCTGCTGACTGTTGGATCTACCTGTTGGTGTTTTTTAATGGCACCAATCACAGCAGATGCATCAGTCCTCAGGATGAATCTCCTTCCTAAAACGTAGTGCCTGAAGCACCTGAGGCTATGGATGATTGACAGTAGCTCTTTCCTGAATTGGGTGTAGCCTCTTTCTATAGAATTGAGAGTTCTGCTCTCAAATCTCATAGGTCTTTCTCTCCCGTTTTCATCTTTCTGAATAAGCACTCCTCCCAGAGCAACTGACCCTCTATCCGCCTCAATGATGAAAGATCTTGTCTCCTCATCATCATAATACGGTACTCCCAGCACTACACCACCATCTCTTAGTTTTTCTTGCAATGTTTCTGTTGCGGCTTGTCTTTTATCATTCCATGCTAAGCTAGCCCCTTGCCTTACCATTTCCCTCAGGGGCTCTGCAAGGGCAACAAAATGAGGAATAAAAATCCTCCAGAATCCACAGACTCCCAAGAAGCTTCTGACGTCTGTCACTCTTTTGAGAGGCAGAGGCCAGTTCAAGATCTTGTCTATCTTCTTGGGATCTTGACTCCTACCCTTGGAGAAGCATCTGAAGCTGTTGGTTAGAAGAGAAGGGACTTTGGTCCACTGACAGTCAGATTATACTTCTGAAGTCTCTCTAGGACCATCTTTACTCCTTCAGCATGTTCCCAGACAAACTTCCTGACTCTCCCTGCGACCAAAGTCTCATCTTTTACCAAGGGTCTTTTTACAGGATTATCATCAATGTAGGGACTGGTTATTTCAGGAGAAATATCCTGCATGACTTTGATCATATCCCTTTGAACCTCTGCCACTCCGTTAGTACAGCCCTGAGGTACCACACACATCTGAACAAGCCCCCTTGGCGTATGCATGACAGTCATTGGCCGGCTAGTGGGATCAATAAGGAACTGATCATAACCAGAATACAGGTCAACTAGAGAATAAATACATCGACCAACAAAGGATTCAGCAAGGAGATCAGCATTAGGAAGACTACCTGCATCACGTACTATCACAGAATTGAGCTTCTGAAGATTCTGTATCCATCTTAGCCCGCCCCCTGGTTTCCAGAAACAAAACCAGTTGTTAGCATACGGTCCATCAGCAGGTTCAGCAACATTAGATGCAATCTTCTTGTCAAGGTACTTTACTACTTCCGCTTGTTCCTTTAGGGCATACTTGGTTGGTCTATCATTCCATGGAACATGATCTACCGTCCAGATTTTGGCCATCTTGATCATGTCCACGTCCAACCGCCCTCTCTCCTCATTATTAAAGGAGAAAACACCAGAAAATTCCTGACACATCCTGAAGATATATTCTTTCTCTTTAGGCAGGATAAATTGATTCGAGCCTATCTTTATTGTGTCGAATCTCTCTTTGGTGACTTTATTCTCCAATTTTGCTGATTCCCTCAATGCTCTTACAATTTCCCTCTCCTTTTCCAATGCTTCATCATAATCTTTTTCTATTAGGACTGCCACTGGGTTTTTCTTCACCCCTTGGGGCTTATATTTTCTTTTTGACCCAGTGGCTATTTTCCTAAAAAAGGGTGAGTCGATGCAAATCTTAATTCCATCTTTCCTCCCTTAGCAGTCTCCACAACTTTCTTGAAGGCTTCAATTTGCCCTTCCTCATCCTCGAGTTTACCAAGGTCTTTTATCATTTTCGAAACCTGATTGATTCCCACTGAAATCTCTTCTTTGGCTTCTCGTTTTCCTTCCTTCTTTAGTTTCCTTTCCCTTTCAGCAGATTCTTCCCTCCTGATCGAATTAGCAGATAATTGATGCGTGAAGTTATTTTTCGTACTGACCATAAAGGTCTGCTCTTGAGCAGTCTCGAGATCCTGTAGACTGATCCAAGATGACCCCTCATGACTGAAAAATTGGACTGCCTCCATCCTATGCAAAAATGGAGTTCCCAAGATACAGTCATGATCCAGATCCGACACTACAAAACCCAGTAACTCCACAGTCATTGTCCCAACCCTTATAGGCAAATTATCAATAAATCCAGCCACGAACAGCTCTCCTGCAGTATTACTCAGTACATTTTGTGCAGGTCTATCAATAGATAAATTACATGCTTCCATCGTTCTTCGTGAAAGGAGTATCATCTCTGCCCCAGAATCTACTAGGGCTAGAATCTTCACTTGATTAATGCGAATTGTAAGGTGCCCACAACCCATGGTTGCAAATCTCATCTTGCAACCTGGTAGTGATCTATTTACTTGGTTGGGAAAAAATGACTCTAAATAGTTAACTTTCAATTTCTTCTTCTCGATTAACTTCTTCAATTCTTCTCTCAGTTTGGGCGCTGGCGTCATTGCTTCCTTGAAAGACAGTGTCACTTCCGTTTCTTCCAGCATTTTAGCAATTACATCTGAAATCACAGTCCCATCATCCAAATCACTCTTGAGAATAAATTTTATCTTTCTCCCCTGCTCATTCTTTTCTTGTGAACGTTCCGGTTCAGGGTCATCAAGGATGTTAATAAGTGACTCCTCAACCTTCTTTCTTTTCTTTTCTTCTATCATTTGAGGTGTCATACGAGTTTGATGGTTCCTCACTTCACCAGCCCTGACACCGGGTTCCATGATAAGTTCTGGGGGTAGATCACCATGGAACGACATCATGTTAGCCAGGAGATGAGTCATTTCATTAGAAGAGGACTCTACTAATTCAGAAGGACTCTGAGAAGTAGGATTCCCTCCCAGTGGAGACTCACTTGTAGATGCCTCGCTAGACTCACACTCAGTCAATGTTAAGGAATGCAGAGACAACTCAATCGTGGTATAAGGGTCACTTGCTCTTTGTACCAGTTCATTAGGCAAGTCTCCAATGAGGAAATGAACATTCATATTGGCATTTCTCTTCTTCTTAATCTTCATCTTTTTATCATGTTTAAGAGCAAGAAGCCTCATACCTCCTAGGTGTCTGGGGTCCAACTTATTTCATGAACTAACCCATCGCATCTTTCTTTGCCACTCCACTTCTTACATCCTCCTCAAGAGGCTTGCAATAAGTGGTAGTATGACCCCCTTCGCCACAATAGTAGCAAGTAAAACTCCTCTTAGGACGCTCATCATATTTTCATTTCTCCCTGTTTCCTCCATCACCATTCTTCCCATTCCTTTTGGGCCTGGATGAATCCCCCTTCTTACCATAATTTTCGTTGTCATCATTATCGTCATCATCTTCCTCACTTTCAGCCTTTTTATTTCCCCTGTCATCCACGGCATGCGTTGCAAGCCTTGCAGGCATAAAGTTAGCCATCACTTTTTGAAGAATATTTTCAGCAGTCAGATTGCTCCCTCTATTCATTTCATTCTCAGTCTCCCAGTCCTTAGCCAAAGTGCTAATCTGATCCAATGACCATTTCTTATGAGAGACAATAGGTAGAGTTCTTATGATTACTACCATTTCATCCCATCTGAGAGGAGAGTGTTGAGCCTGATTAAGAACCGCCTGCCTTTCAGTGTCAGTAAAATTTGTCAAAAATATATGGCATCTCTGAGCTTCATCAAAATATGGAATTCTTCTTGCTGTTCGGATGAAGGTCTGAAGAAAAACATTGAAAGTGTCATATTTAGCTCTTCTGATATTGAGTAAATCCTTAGTTGTGGTTGAAAATGAATCTTTCTCGAATTCCTTTCTCAGTCTTTCCTTGACCTCTTCCCAGGTAGTTGCACCTTCCATTAGCTCCTGGACTGCCAGTCTTGATTCAGTATCACAATAAGATAGAAGGTGCTTAAGCCGTTGCTTGTCTGTTCAGCCATAACTGAGTCCAAATAATTCATATTCGTCCAAGAAGTCATTAACCTGTGGCCCTCTGCAACATGGTATTCTCTCATTTGGTCGTTTTGCTCTTGCAATGCCTGACCCTCCTTTTATAGTATCAACTCTTTCAACCAACTCCCGTATAACTACAACCAAAGCCTCTTCATTGGTCCCTGCTGATATACTCGGCCTTCCTCGTCCTGCCATCTTGACCATAGATTTTCCCAGATATAATCCCCTCTCTTTATGTCACTCTTGTCCTTTTCTTCTTTGCCCTTCAATCTCTTACTCTCCTCGCAAGGGATACAGGCTCGTTTCTCTCTTCTCTTGTCTGTTCTACCCCTTGAGAGTTTTCTACATATAGAGTATAAGCAATAATGGATTGGGTAGTGATCAGGCAGTGCAATCCTTCTCAGCCTTCCAATGTAATCTTCAATCAATTCTCTTTCATCATCCCTACTCAATCTTATATTATACCCTTTTATAGTACCTTGAATCATAAAATATCGAGTCAGGTCTATAATCTCATAATCAAATTGCATCGTTTACGGCCCACTATTGATCCTTCTTGCAAGAGAGACCCGTTCATGAAAAGTGTGATATGATACTCTCTCAGTAGTTCTCACTTTCACCACCTTTAACAGATAGCTTATCTCAGTCTGGTCAGTGATAATTCTCAAGGCATAACCTCTCATGCGATCTAAGAAAGGCTGCAAAAACTCAAGCTCATCTAGGTAGAAAGATTCCTGTCAGAGATCCGAAGAGTCCCTTCTACCTTGATCATTCTACCTTCTAACACAACTCCTAGTGTCAGCTGTTCAGCCAAGCTGGACATTGCTTAAACATCATAAGCAATATCTGAAAGGTAGATCTCAGGTTGGACATAATCAGGGATCTCGAATCTGTGTTCAAAGGTACTCAAAAATAGAAATTTTATCATCACAGTGAAGTTTTTTTCTCTTGCTCTACCAATCTCAGCAATAGTTTCCAATAGAGGCATCCAATCTCTCCTTCCTTCAAATCCCTTAGCAATCGAGAACTCAGGGAACCTCTCGAATTGTCTTACTTCTTTCCCCCATGTTACTTTTCTCTTTAACTTTTCAAGCCACTCTTTGGTTTTTATGAGACTAATATAAGCACATGTCTGAAACTTCAAGTAGTCATCTTCCTTTTCTAGGCCTGCTGGTACATAAATTCGTACGTCCAGGCTGCCAATACTCAGGAATTTGACCACTGGGATGTGAAATATATGGGCCCTCTCTCACAAGTCTCATACCTCAGGATCACAAAAGGATTATCACACCCTATCACCTCATAGAGTTTACCCCTCACAGTAGTTATCCTGGCTACTAAGAGTATTCTTCTTGGACTCTCTTCACTTTCCATGCAAACTTTATCATGGCATACCAATTGTCTTTAGGTAGATTAATATCAGGTAAAGGAGGGGCTGGGAGTCCATTAAAACAGTAAATCGAGTAGATCCAGTGAAGCATTTGTTCTCTCTCTCAAGCCTCTCTTTCTCTTTCAGTACTATCTCTTCAGCAAATCCCCAGCATCTCCCATACACTGCATCAACACTTCTTTCTTTTGGAACACAGATTCTCACATCATACACATCCAGATCTGTGAAATCAAATGTCAATACATATAATCGTTCCTGCTCCCATCCGCTCTCGACCATCTCATACCTGACAACTTCATATGAAAATGCTTCTCTCTTGCTTAGAGTATTCAACAACCTTAGGAGATATTCGACCTTCTCTTGACTTGGACCCGAACCTCTGCCAAAATCTGACCTTATTTGTTTGATTACTTCTGCTGAAATCTCTTCAGCTCTCATGACCACCGTTTCTTTTTTCCCTTGTCAATACCATGTTGATTATTGACAGCCAGTTAGTCCCATCACAATAGCTGTCAGGTATAGGAGGAATTGGAGCAGTCTTGTATGTTACTGGCATTATACCCCATTCCACTTTCCTCCTTTTCTTGATCAGGTCTGTCTTTCCGTCATAGATAAATTGGATCACGATCTCCCATAACCAATTAAAGTTCTCACCATCATTGCTGCCTCCTTCCTTGACATATGGGCGGATATCATAGATATCTCCCTCCAAGAAGTGAGTCGGCACTACACAGATGGTTGAGCCACGAGAGTGATAGCCCTAACAAGCGTCATATCTGTAAGGAAATATTCCTCTTGTAGTAAATTTAGGCAATTCTTTCAGAACACCGTCGACCAGCATTTGTCTCAATCCATCTCACTCTCTTCCTTTCAATTCCCTTCAGCGTGTTGGACGATAATTGGGCATACCTGGTGTCGAACTCGATTCTCTCCAGTCAATAATATCAATCTCCTTTTTCCGATGCAGTGTGGTACCTCACACAAGGAAGAAATAAATCACAGTTACCAGTCGTGATTCTCAAGAGAATCGGGACTCAAATGAGAATAATAAAATTAACATGAAGCTCACAGAAATGTCAACAGTTCTCACGTCCTAATCAAAACTCAAAGATGATGATGACCCATGCTCGTTCCGGACACGAAAATCTTTTCACGTCCCCGGCAACGGCGCCATTTTTGTCGCACTTTTTTCCTGTCGGACAGCTTCAGGCGACCGGAAAACCAACAGACTGTCACGCAGGATTTTGTATGTGATTGCAATAAATAAATAGATTAAATAATGCAAATCCCTTCCTGTTGTGTGCCTCCGGCTTCAAGCGAGACCCTTCAATTACAGTCTTCACCGGACCCCGGTCTTAGGAATCTTTTATTTTGATTCGGAACAGCGGAACATCATGCAAGTAAATAATCATAAAAATTATGAGGTGCTATGCATGCATCAAATATGTCAATCTGATTTTGAGAACTGTGACAGAATTATCCACAAATGCAATCATCAAAACAAGAACAATACAAGAGACAAGACAGACTGACCCGAGCAAAGGCAAGATCAAGTGTATGAAGGATGAATGAGAACTCATAATAATCTCAGAAAGTACACATAGACAAGCATRGTCAKCAMCTCTCAAGAGTCCTCACTCATCCCTCTGKTCAGTCTCTCTCARTCTCTCTTTTCACTGTTCGTCTCWGGTGCCGTGACCCACGCCCACGTACAATCTGAGATTGAGGCCTCGTGACAAAGAGCCACCTGAAGCCTGCAAGCTCTGAGCATGACCATCCGAGGTACATGACACGGAAGTTGACCATAGAGCAGAACTCCTCCCACAATGTAGGCAGTCCATCCACTGAAAAGACCCCTCGTTTGAGGTAGGGGTACTCGGTAGGCTCAGTCAGTGCCTCAATGTCGATTACTGCTGGAGAGATATACCTTTTTGCCAAGCTGATCATGTCAAGCCAACTCATGCCATCTGTGAGGAGAGAAGGAACAAGAGGCTTGGGATAGTCGGTATAAAGCTTTGGCCCAAAGCTGCAGCTCAACGTAGCACCACTCTCATCGAGCTCCCTCTCTCTCTGCTCGAGGTATTTGGTGGCAGAGATCCAGACTGAATCAAAATGCTCATGAGCCTCCTTGCCCTTCTTCAGGTAAGGCCTCAGATTGTGGATGGTACCATCAGCGAAACTGGTCTGGACAACGAAGATTGACAGATKTCCTCGTCTAAAACCAGTAGCATTGACATACTGATAGCGAAAAGCCTCCTCGCATGAGATCTGATTGAGATTAGTCAGCACTGTCTYGYTGACTRGAACAGATTGCACTGTACTCATGACAAGGAAGTCTGATCCCTACTGATAAAATTTTGACTTGATTGTTGATTTAATTTGCTAAACTAAATGCTGAAATGCCTGCTGAACGGTTGATATGGTTTCTAATCCGATTGTTAATCTGATAGCTAATCTGACAGTTAACCGAATGATCACGAAGTACCGATTGAATGATTGCTGAGATGTAGACTGATTGATTGCTGAGATGAAAACTGAATTATTGTTGAGATGTAGACTGAATAATTGCTGAGATGAAAACTGAATGATTGTTGAGATGTAGACTGAATGATTGCTGAGATGAAAACTGAAGGCACGCTGTTCTGGGAACTGATTCTGATACTGATTCTGAAAACAGGTTACGAAAACGGATTCCGAAAAATGATTCCGAAAAATAATCAGGGGATCAGGGGCTGATTGACTTACAACCAGGAACTGAATGAATGCCGACCGAGAGCAGAATATCACTTGTCTGATTGTCAATTAAAAAAAAAAACGGTCGAGTGCCACTTCAAAACCAACTGATGCAGTTATCCTGCATATTTTGTTGATATACTGTGTACCCCGCTATGATCTGTTTCTAGGACTGTTTTGTTTTATCCATTCTGTCTCTGTCTGATGCGAACTTATTCTCAGGATTAAAAACTAAACCCTATTACTGGTTTCTAGCAGCCACCCTCCTTGCTTCCTCAATGGATACCACAGATGAGAGGGTGCTATGTAATCTCCCGTCTGATCCATAGATGTAACAAGTGTACTCAATGAGTGTTTGGTCCTTTACCAGTGATAGTGCATACTCCGTCATGGAAGGTCTTTGACGATAAAAATCTTGTGCTACTTTCTCTTCCCAGCCTTCAATTCTGTCCCAGAATAGAGTGCACGTCACCCTCTGCATGTTCTCGCTCCCCATCTCTCTAAGGAAAACTACAGCATTGCGAGTGACGCAATTCTACTTCCCTAAACTCAGCTCTGTTTTGCAACCTCTAGTGATTCCCCTACTTATCCAGTTATTCCAGCTAATAGGGTGGGGCACACTGTCAAAACGAGTCAGATTCAACCCCCTAATACCGCTCATTTCATAGCTCAAACTGCGTGCTCACCCCCCTTGCTCGCTGGTTCTCCGACCAGATAAGCTTATCTGTGACACCCAATTGCTGCTGACCGTCCGATTTCAGAACGACAAGGGCGAGGACTATTCTTGATACTGATAGGTCACACGTGCACTAGAAGTAATGAGTCGTGTCTCATTTGCTCTTACCTGACCATTGCACGAAGGTTATTATGAGAATCTACATGCCAATAACTTGTTCTTGCGACGAACGACGTCAATGGTTTACTTCAGTTTCCTTAATACGAAAACCCCCAAGATTTATCGTTTTGAGTATAACTTACTCCAACGGAGTAGAGCCTCARAGCAAAAGGGGATCTTTCCTCAGTGAAGCATATCTGCTCCTGAGGTCATATATCTCTGAGCAGGGCACGCAGGCACCTGTCACAATGGCTCTGAGTACGAGAGATGAGGTCTGTATATGTCGTCCAAAGCACAAATAGGCTATCCAGAGTTTCACGAGTAGAACARTAAGCTCCCATGAACACGACCAAAAAGCTTCCACGTTTAATACAAGATCTTCAAGCTTAGGCTCTTGCTACTGGAYGAAGAGGTTCTCGGCGAGGAATGTCTGTATTGAGTCATATGGCTCTAGACTTGACATTCAAAATCGACATAAATACTTCGATTACAGGCGCTTTCCTGTTCGTACGTTGTTCGATTCATGTCGGAGAGTTACTTCTCATATTTGTCCGTTCAGATATTCCGTGATGTCTTGTCCATACTAGACCACAGTAATAAGAGTTTTCCAGTCCCTAAACCATCCAGTTCGCCCGCAACTGTTTTTCCCAGGAGATATGCTCCGTGCCCCCTTTTACATTTTTGGGGCTATCTGGAACAGTGGCCATCAAGATAAACCCCTTTTATTGTTATTGCTGGTAAATACACCTTCGGAGACGAAATCAAGAGCTGCATTTATTTAAATATATACATATATATATACATGCATTTGTAGACACACATATATATATATATATACATATAGCTCAAAGTCCCTCTACTTCGCCATTAAGTCGGGCCCAGAGGTAGAAGTCCAATTCCCACTTTCTCTGTGGGCTTTCTCAGTCAAAACTTTATCAGACGCCCGGTGCAGCCAAAACTCATTCACGCCTATGGCCTATCTGTTCGCCAACTGATAGTCGAATAGCTCAGTTAAAGTCAAGCATTCTTAGGTCTCCCCTCCGCTAATCCCCGTCTAGCATGAGTTTGACCAGGAGATAARCAATTTTCCTTAGGACTATCTTTTTCTTGCTYATCGCTCATTATAGAAGGGAAATAAAGTACCCAAAGAAAATTACCACGGCAAGCTTTCAACTCATCTCACACCGTTGAGAARAGCTGTATTGCARCTTTTCTTTGCATGGAAAATATCAGAACAAGCTCCCAAACCAGGGCTTCCGTCAGGGAAAAGAGGGGTACTCTATAAAACGCRAAATACGGAAGACCCAAACAAAGGCAGTACCGATTCCATCCGATTTTTCAGCGTTTCATGTTTCTCAATATTACCAGCTATAATTCACCATTTTCTTCCTAGCTTTCCATTCAACCCACTAACAAACYGCTTWAATTTACACGACAAGCAGTAGTAAAAGGTTCGCTAAAACTCTGGTCAGGGGCCCAACCGTGAATTCCAATTAGCAGCTCACTCATACCGTAGTAACCAGTAATACTTAGCTGTCATCCGAACCTATTTCTCGCCACTTCSCTGCCAGCTCTCTCAACAACAGTGAGGGCTGGTTCAAGGCACATAAGGCTCAAACTTGCGTCCGTAGTCGGTCGCGCGTTAGCCCTCTTGGCCCAAAGACTCTGATAGAGCAGMAATTAATGAGGATAGCGATGGAAAAACAACCGTCGAAATCAAGAATACTTCAATCCAGGTACCAATCAGCAACTCCCGAAGCAATTTAACCAATGATCTCAGGTAGACGCTCTCTTAGTGACTAAACCAATCAACATGCTAAACTTCTAACACAGACGGTCTTGATAGGACTGGGTGCTTGCTCCGAAGACCTTCATAAACTCTCTTACTCATAACAAACAACGATGGCTACCATGCACAGTCTTATGACTTCGYAGGATCCGAAGAAGATCATGTTTGACAATCTTATTTCAAATCCATGGTCTACAGGCCTCTCCGGTATTCCCTGCTAATAATGCTCCATCCCAATACCAGTTAAACCTTCCCCCCTCAAAACAGCACATCGAACCCATACAGAAGCCTTCTCTCCACAATGACTACTCAGGTCGCTCGCTTGTAACTACCGCGTTGTAGCCARACAACACTCCTAAGAACARTAATCATCACTGAAGYCATTCACAGAGGAAAGTTCGGGCTTTCCACCCCAGGCGCAACCCAACTTCTAGATGTCATAACCCACCTTGGAAGCATGGGGGTTCGTCTGGATAACAAGGTCGGTTGCCTGGAAAAGGTTGAAAAGGCGCGTATTGCAGCACTCAAGCTTCCCTGAGCGAGTCGTCAATTAGCTACCRTCATGTCGTCAACTAGTCTTCTTCTCCAACGCAATTAGCCACGCGCGCTTAGTCCCCTCATGTCTCTCTCTTCCCCGACAGTCATCCGTAACCGTCTCACTTTCTCTTTTCTTTCTGGGTCTACCCTGCGTAAAGTTACACACACGTGTCGTCGCCTGCCTCTCTTTTCCCGAGTCCAACACATAAAGACTCCCGCATTTCGCCTGCTCACTAGACCAGTATTGGCGTCTGCCCAGACGTCGCRYTGCATTGGCGATCTCCTCTCTTGTCACTAGCCATCCTCTTCTTTGAGACTCTCCCGCGCGTGCTGACCTGTGTGGCACTTCTCCCCGTTCCACTCGTCATAACCTTTGAGCGACTCTCCTTCACTCACACACATCGCTTGTCACAGTCACCCTTCTGGCTAGTCTCTCCACTCCGGGCCTTCTTCTCTCCCCAGYCACGCRWCCYGCTCATATGCGTCAAGGAAGAAGAGTAAATATCAGATGTTGAGCATGCTCAYGTAATCTGTCCGCGACATGATCGAATAGCTGGCCAACCATTTTTGGGGCACATCAGAGCTCCTTGGAAGCTCTCTACGRCGATCCCCTCAGGAAGCTATCCCCCACTGGTTATCTTGACAGCACACAGAAATGCCAAAACGCGYTGGGCCCTCAGTCACCCGCGAGACGCCAGCCGTTGACCACTCTCTCGCTCCCCAGACCACGCCATCTATCGCGCGTGTGCTCGTGTAACTCTCTTTTCTTGTCTCTCGGACTAGCACGTGTTGACCCTCTGCGGACGCTCCCTTCTCACACGCATCCTTTCCCCCTGTTTTGCTTCTCACTCGTCCCGCGGCCTCTGGNTCTCGGACTAGCACGTGTTGACCCTCTGCGGACGCTCCCTTCTCACACGCATCCTTTCCCCCTGTTTTGCTTCTCACTCGTCCCGCGGCCTCTGGCGTCAGCTGTCGAGAGCTGACCTCAGGTCCCTCTTCAACCGGCCTCACGGCCCGGTGATGCCTCTGGATCTCGCCTGGTCTATTCCAGGACGTGAGATCTGTCTCCCGGTCTCCCGCTTCGCTCATTTCACTCTCACCGCCTGAGTCCCTGTCCACGTGGGCCTGTTCCAGGTCCGCTGTGTCCATTGAGGTCTCGGTCTCATGATACGAGACCGTTACCTGCAACCTTGCAGTCACTCCGTCCCTCCTGCARCGCCTCTCCGCACAGTCTTTTGCCTCYGTTATCGCATCCTGTAGTTTTCCGTCCGTCCGCATCTCCACTTCTTTTGCCCCTTCCACGTTAATCTTCATCTTCACTTCATCTCCCCCGTCGTAGTTGAGCATGACTGTGATCCAGGGCCCTTCCCCAGACATGGGYCTCCACCGRGCCTGGTGGTACCARTATCCGGGCCTATACCCATGCAACGCCATAGCTAGGCTCAGTCCGATAAACAGCGCACCGGCCCCRCCTACTGACCCGAATAACYAGTACCCACTACTGGGTACACAKACAGGGCCTTCAGATGGGCTTACACGTCCACCTCACCACTTCGTTCCCCCCTTCATCGACTAGGCTGCAATCGCATAGCGAGACCGTCTGAGCTCTCACCGTATGAGACAGTCCTCCCTTCTTTATAGGATCGCTGTCTATTGCATTTCCAAACTGAGCATAGATAGCCCTGCTATTTTCTTGCCAATCTGTGTTCTTGCTTCGACCAGACTTTTCCTTTTTTTTTTTTCTTTTTTTTTTTTTTTAATTAGGTGAAACAAAAATTAAAATGAGAATGAGAATAAAATCAAAATAAAATAAGTGAAACAGCAAGGAAGGAAATTAAGAACAAGAGACATAATCGTCAACGGTCATATCACTAGCTCCCTCTTGGGCTCGGATGTGACCTGCAGACTCAACGTGGAGGTCCCATAACGGGTTACTAGTGGAYGCCCRCCCTTCTTTAAAACCTGCAGCCTAACTTACGACTATCGGGTACCCGTGTCCGATGGCAAGGAGGGGGCTTATGACCCTCCACAGGGGGGTGATAGGCTCCCTACCAATGCGGCCGYGGGTCGCCCCTCTTTTGAGGTCCTGCAACGCGACACTCAGTCGAACAAGCTCAGAGCAAACAGTATACGAGGAGTCGGCCCACTTAGGCCGCACAAAATAGCTCAAGCYAGAATTTCCAACCGTTGGCTTTCCTGTGAAGTGACAGGCTAAGGGCAAACCGAATCGGACGATCGAGCGAAAGAAAACTAAGYAACAATAGAGAAAAGGAAAAGATGGCGTTTCAAAATTCTGCTGCGCCGCAGCCTCCCCCGAACGGCGATACGAGCCCACACACAAATCTAAAACCCGACTTCCAATCTTTTCCCTTCCTTTTYCCCCYTTTTCTTATTTTTCTCCCTTCAGTCCTCTCTGTATCTGCCCCCTTAACCTGGCCACTGGGATYTCACCGCGAGGTTCGGACGAACAGGTCTGRTATAGGCGATATACAAGGGGTCAGTAAAACCCAGGCCATAAGACCGCAGTTACAGTCCGAAAACCCGAATCGGCGGCCCTTTCCCTACGAAGTGACAGATCGACAGGCGGAAAACCGAAAATAGGAATTTTAAGTAATAATCACAATAAAATAATAGCRATAATGATGACGRCATTTCAAATTTGGAAAGGAAACCATAGCATCACAGCGACCTGAGGCCACCAGATTTCCCCACACAAAAGAAAACGAGTTTAAGTTTGACGCTTTTTCTTTTTTTTCTTTTTCTCTTTTCCTTTCCCCGACAGCGACTTCTACCCCCTTGCACCTAACCCATAACTTGGCAACAGGGCACTCGGTGCGCAGCAGAAAAGACTGCGCCAACCCTTTCGCCTTTGCGTCCCAGGGCAGACCCGGCGGCTACCACGGCCACAGGCCGGTTGTGCTCTGCTGTACAGCAGGGCGCCGAGCCTGCGTGGAACAATKGAAAGCCCTGTGGCGCACCTTTTGTTGAGGCAAGCACCAAACAGGGCCGGTCCACGTCATGGTACCGCCCAGGTACCAGGGAATTTTTAATTCCGGAACATACCCATAGGCCCCACATAGGTCACGACACCGAGACAAAGGGCGACATCAGGCAGGGACCTGGTACACAGAGGAGGGCCGGGACACTGCGCCCTCCGACATCGGCCCCATAGCCACCAGAGCTACAAGGCAGTATATCATCTGGACAGCGCTGGAGTGGGAAGGGCAGAAGCGTAGGCTGTCACAATAGGAAGATTTTGGCAAGTACCCGCTAGTCAACCATTATCCTTCTCGTGAGGAAAGGGATTGACGAAGGGAGTCTTTGCCCCCCTGTCGAGAGAAGGACAGAGGGGTGTGAAGAATGTGAAGGTGGGCAGGGAAGCCAGGGAAGAGAGGGTGGAATTGGGGGAAGGCAAGAAAGGAGGAAGGAAGAAGGGGTCATATAGGTGTTTGGTAACCACGTGAAGTATCCTTCGGAGGCCAAAACCAGGGTTCTGACCCAGCGACAGCCAGACAGATGAGCCCAACGACGAGTTCTCTGGGTAATCACTTTCCTTTCCTTCCCCTCGAAAACCAGTCTATGGTGGGTGGTGACGAATGGTGATTATATCCCTATTTATGAGAGGCTTCAGTTTATACAATTATTAATAATGAAGTGTAGGGTTGGATGTCATTTGTGCTACATAATAGGGTTCGAATAAGTTTTGTGAGTTTGATTGCTAATTTGTTTTGTTTGACTCAGTTTATCTGGTCCAGCATGTTGACTTAGATTCGTGCACTCATCCGGTAAATAACAGACACATTACCATGGCAGAGGCTTTGACCTCAAGCCCTCCCCCACAAACAGGTCCAGAGGAGAAAACAAGGATTCGTGAAATCCTCGCTGGCTGCTACAATTAGGGGCTCCTTCAACCTGAAGCAAGTTGAAGTTGGTGAGGATTATGTCCGAATCGTTGTTAAACCAGTACTATATGAGATTCAGGAGGAGTGGTTGAATGAAAATGTTGTCTCGGTGTGTTTTGGCGACGAGTCCAGGTCTTTGCCTATTTCGGTCAAAGTTTGTTTGATTCGGATGCACGAGGACGGTTGGGCCAAGGGCGGGACACTAAGTGTCCCGCCCAAACGAGGGGTATTCCACAATGAAGGATACAACATGATTGCCTATGCGGCTTCGGCAAAAGAAATTGCTACGTGGATGTTAAGGAAGAGGGAGGCCAAAATTACCCTGGACGGGAAAACGCATCTGATTACCTTCCGGCCATGGATGACAGAGAAAAAATTGGCTGAGTGGCGGGAAGCTATAAATTACAGGTATTTTTGGATAAGATGCATGTATGTCCCGGTAGCAGTCCTCCCACATGGCCACAGCAGTGAAGAAGGCTTTGGGGAATATCCTTAAAAAATATGACACTTTTGCAGACCCAGTCTCCCCAGAACTGATAAATGTCAGATTCGACCTTGATCCAGAGGCCCGCCTGCGCTACAAACCCTACCTAATAATCGATATGAAACAGGGTGGGTGTGTGGAAATTGAAGTCGTTCACGCCCAGACCTCGTGGTGTTGGGTATGTCGACAATAATTTCACTAAGGAAAGGACGATGCGTGCCCGTCAAGGAAAAGTCCCACACAGCAGAACAAAGGGAAGCAATCAGAAGACAATGGGTCAAAACCAGAAGTTCGTAATAGTAACGAGAAAGAAACAGGGAAAAAGACAGAAGGAGAGAAGGAAAATGGGAAGGGGAAGGAAAGGGTGGGTGAAATGGAGAAGTCGGTGGATCCTAGGGGACAATCCTCCCCTCTGGTAACGAAACAGAAAGAAAATGCTACCAGGGAAGGGGAACAGGAAAAATCGAAGGACTCCACGATAGGGGAGGAAGACCTCATGGAAATTGAAGTCCCAGGTGGAGAAGGGAATTCAGAGAAATTGTCAAATGAAGACAGGTCAAGTGAACAGAAGCAAAATCCTCCACCTCCACAAGGGAAGAGCCGCAAACAGGATCATCAACGTAGAAAGAAAAAACAGAAAGCGGCTAAAAACAAATCGGGGCGCACGACCTAACAATGGAGGGTGAATAAATCCTTGAAATCGATAGCCGACGTCCCACCCTTAGAGGAAGGGTCACACCCGGTCAAGGACCAAGGAAGGTCGGTTTCCCCGGCCCCCTCGATTGAGATATTGGAAAAAGGAAGGGAAATGGAAAACGGGGCAGAGAAGAAAGGGACACCGAAAGGGCTGGAGGAGCGAAACTCAGGAACTGACCATATCGGAAATGAGACTTCCCCACCCCCCAGCAAGACGAATCTCAGGCCGGTACCCCCTACCTCTCCCACCCCGACCCCCTCCCCTCCTTCAAGGACTCCCACTTCGCAAGGAAAAGAGATTAGGGATTCCCCAACTGGTTCAACAGTGAAGGCATTGTCGGCTTCAGGCAGAAAAAGGAATCGCAGTAAATCACCGTCAGCGGTTCAGTTATCTGAGTCGACAGGCAGAGCAGTTGCAACACTGGCAAGCCTGTCGAACGGGGAGCTAAAGGGTTGCGTTGTAATTAACAATGATGCCTTTAACACCAGCGAACCAGATGATGATGAAGGGAGAGAATCAGCTATTAAGACTAAAACATTCAAAGGGAAAAGCAAGAAACAGTTCACAAGGTGGGAGGAACTACGATCGGATGAAGAGGATGAAGAGGAGGAGGAAAGTGGTGAAAAGACAAACTCAATATTTTTTTCCCGAACAGAGGGATTATCAGAAGGAGTATCTGAAGGTTTAACAGAGTTTGTGGAAGAAGTCTTGGGGGAAAAGGAAATATATAAACCCAAGACAGACGAGAAGGAAGGTAGTCCCATTACTCGCCTGTTTGCCTCCCCTACCTCCCCCTCCTCACCCAATGCATCCCGACAGGAAACTGCACAATTGTTGTCCTCAAGCAAATGTCCAAGAGTGGAGGGGCTAAAATTCGAAGTACGGTTGGAAGAAGAAGAAAACTTTGGACCCAAAGAAAATATAGCCCGAAGCTTTTCCTTGAAAAGAGGAAGACCCCAAACGACGAAAACAACAAAATGGTCCCTGGCCTTGTTAGGCCCGATGCGCACTCTCAGTCGAGGCGAAAACCACAAAGTAAAAGGTCAAATCTCTGATTTTTTGGTACCTGTAATATGCGCACATGACGGACTTGTACCGAGGTTTTTGACATTCAGAGGGAAAGATGAGTCCCTAATGCTGACTACGGCAATATTAAGAGGCTCGCTTCCCCGGTAATGGTATGCAATCTAGTTAAAATTCATATCCTTCAAAACCTTGGGGAAGTCGGTCTGTTACAGAAACCAAAAATGGCAAAGCAATTGATTGACTTACCAGATGGAGGCAAAGCCCGTCTTCTCTTTGCATTTTTGGATTTGCTGCAAATTGGCAGCAGCAAAGAGAAATGGGATGATTTGAAGTTATTTTGGGTTGAATTAGCCCACTTGGTAGCCTCTACTGAAGACACCCTGCAGAACATCCGATTACCATCAGGAATTACAATAAAGGCAGTGGTAGATTGGCTCAATCACACAGACAACATTGCAATGATCAGGGACTCTGCCTTTGCTAAGAATCTCCAACGGAAACATATCGGAAAAACTCGGAACTTTGTTCTGGGTGAACTGTTTAAGGCAGGAGCTAGCACTGTCACGGGAGCGGCCCGGATAACGAGGATGGTCCTTCCCAATAGGATCAGGCTGGCAAGTTGGAACGTACGCGGACTTGGTGACCAAAATGCTACCTTTAAAAGAGGAAGACTTACTCACTGGATTTATACTAAAAAAATGCAGATTGTTGGTTTTCAAGAAACCAAAATAGGCCTTGATAAGATGGCGAACATCCAAAACTGGTGGCCTGGCCCCCAGGTTTGGTCGCCTGTAGACGGGACCAAAGGGGGGGTGGCCATCTTGATCGAAAAAGGTCTGGAGGTGGATGTAATAGACAACTGCACAGATTTCGAAGGCCGATGGGCCTGGGTGAAACTGACAATGGAAAACGATGACGGCACTTGATTCTAGCAAGAGGGTGCCCTTGGGACCGAGCGACAAATTTGAAAACGGCCTTTGCTACGTTGTCAGACCACTATCCTGTGATAATGGATACCACCCCGAAGGAGGTGATTGACAAACATAGGCCCCCCTTTCGACTGAACACCCAAATTCTCAAGGACCCAGGGATTCCCCAGTGGATTAAAACTCAGATGGAAGATTGGGAACTAGCGCGGGACGTCTTCACAAACCCAAAAGACTGGGTAGATGCAGGAATTGGGATCCTGCAGGCTGCAATGATTGAATTTTCAAGAATTAAAGCTGCAGCCAGAACGTGGAAGGAACAACAACTAACTAAAATCATAGAGGAGGCGGACTCATGCCCAAACTCCGACCCCTTTCGAGAGTATTACTGGTTCTAAAAAAGGGACCGAGCGATCGCAGAATTAGAAGAATTGGAAATTATGAAACAGAGGGAATGGCAAGAATGCTTAAAAGTCAAGGGAATCATGGGTCATGACAAGATGACAAAGGATACATTCAAAATGTTAATCAGACGAATGGCAAAGCCGGCGATGAGGGAGCTTGTACACCCCTTTGCAATTTCAGCCCCCCTCGCTACGACCACTGAGGACTTGTGCACCTATGCCATGGCTTACTTTCAGGACATAGTGTCAACAAGAAGACCCTTTGACAATTCCAACTCAAACTTGGCTGACCACTCTTCCTTTTGGAACTGTGTACCGACAAGTCTGTCAGTAGAAAGTAGCATGAGTTTAGATGAATCAATTACATTAGAAGAAGTCACCCAAGCAGCAAAACAAATGGCCAAGGGCAAGTGTCCCGGACCAGATGGCTTACCCATTGAATTTTTCCTAACTGCTTGGGAGGCCTTTGGGAGTTTCTTTTGCAATATTTATAATGAATCCTGCTCTTCTGGTTGCTTGCCTAAAGGCATGTTGAAAGGGATGATCTCCATACTTTATAAAAAAGGCCAAAAAAAGGAAATAAAAAATTGGCGGCTCATTTCGGTTCTAAACGTGTCCCACAAAATCTTGGCTAAAGTCTTAGCTTTGAGATTCTCTGCGGCCCTCCCGACCATTGTAGGGAAAGAACAAGGGGCCTTTGTCAAGGGTCGATCAATTTTTGACAACATAATGGCGACAATGCAGGCTTTGGAAGTAATAGGAGGAGAAAAAAGGGAGGTGGCTATGCTAATGCTCGATATGGAAAAAGCATATGACAAGGTTGGTTGGGCATTCGTTAACACCTGCCTAATGAGAATGGGCTTTGGCCCCCAGTTTCGTGGATGGGTCAAGATCATGTACGAAAGGGCAACAACCACATTACTTGTGAATGGAAACAATTGGAAGAATTTCACCTATCTAGGTCTCTCAGGCAAGGGTGCCCCTTGGCCCCGCTCATATTTGTAATACAATTAGAGGTACTCCTTGCGAATATCAGGACCAAGCAATTAATCAAGGGTCTTCGGCTGTCGCCATCCATCCATTGGAAAGGGGGGGCTATAGCTGATGACCTAACGGTAGCCTGCGAGAATAGGGTGGGGAGTATGAATCAGTTGAGATCGGTAGTAGATGAGTATTGTACACTATCTGAAACCTCCGTAAACTGGGATAAGTCAGTTTTCTTCCTCCCCCCACCCTATGAACTGTGTGTTGACTGGGGATTGCGATAGGTACCAGTTGACTCCTCCGATCGTTTTTTAGGAGTGCAGGTGTCTTTGGTGGACTGTGCAAATGTGCAGGATAACTTGCTGGCGGAGAAAGTGATGGCCAGAATAGCGAACTGGGAAAGGCGGACGTGCTTATCACTATTTGGCAGGGCCTTGGTCCTGACTTTTGCGGCCTTCTCACTACTCTGGTATCCTCTGATGGTCCACAGGCTGGGACACATGGCCTATAAGAGGATCAAGAGCGCCGCTGCGCGGTATTTATGGAAGTCGGCTGCAAACGAAGAACAGGGCTACCTCTTGAAGGTGGCCTGGGAAGTGGTGGCGACCCCCAGGAAGAAAGGGGGTTTGGGAATTTTGGACCCAGTTCAACAAAACGTCGCCTTACTTGCAAAATGGCTGATACAGGCCATGACTGGATTGGATACGAAACTCTGGATGAATTTGGCAGAATATATATTAGGCTCGGAGTGGGGATTAGAAGATCACTCCAAGGTTTGGCTGTGTATGTTACTGCCATCCTTTGTGAGCCGCAAACCGAAATCGCGTCTTTGGAGGAGCATATTGGGGGCGTGGAACAAGGTTTGGCCTTGTGAACATTACACACCAAAGACGGTGCAGGAAATACTGAACCAACAACTTTTTGAGAATCAGAGATTTTGCAGGAAATGGATTGTCCTTCTCAGCAGCAGAAGTCCCAGGAGGTTTTGGGAAAGCCTGGGTGAAGAAAGGTGTTTTGCAGGTGCGGGATATTTGGGACATTGCAAAAGCAGATTTTTTGGATCTCCCCATCCTTCGCAGGGAACTCCCACGTCTACATAAGGTTGTTGAGCATAGAGAAGCGCTTACGCTATCCCTCACTGTTGGGTCAAGCAGCTTCAGCCAGATACAAATCAACCTATTGGGTCGTGGCTTTTGCCAGAGGACCAGCCGTATCAGGTGTTGCATGTAACAGGTCCAGATTCGGCTCAGGGAGTAAGAGCAGAAAGATGGCGAATTCCTAGTGGCTCCAACTTTAAGAAGCCCCTGATACTGTTGGAGGAAAATGTACACATCCAGCACTCAAGGTACCTGGAGGAAGGATGGGTTTTAACTCGAAGGGTACACAATAGAAGAGTGGGGGCAACCTACTTGGGTAAAGCAAGCGATTTCAAGGTAGAGCCCCTTCTGCAAGGATGGGAAGGACAACCCTCACAAACACCTCTTGCGCTGTACAAACCGAAGGTTGGTGTTCAGAGCCAGCAAAGTAAACTGAAGAAAACAGCGTCATCTTTGGCACTACATCGAGCTGAATCCTACCAAGGCGGTGAGGTCACGGAAATGGGCCTCCAGGGTCTGTGGAAGGCATTAAGGAAGACTCCAGTACAAAAACGTGCAAGTATTATGTGGCTCCAATCCCTACTAGTGACAGCCTCAGCAATGTGGCTATCCTCCAGAGGGATGGAGATATCTACGACATGCATGCGATGTAACTGGGCTTGGGAGAATGCGGTCCATATCTGGCTCTCCTGTCCCTTGTCTGAGGAGCTCCTCAGATGGTGGAAACACCATTGGAGGAGAATCACAAGGGGGGCTATGGAATGGTCAGATTGTACAAGTGACTGGGGCTATATGGCCCTCTGCTGCAGAGGGGTCCTCATGGAAGTGATATGGAAGGCCAAAAATGCCAGAGTATTCCGGGGGGAAGTAACTCCGCTGCAACAACAACAACAACAACTAGTCAGACAAGGGATCAGAAGGATCATACGTACAGAGGGCGAAACGATGAATTTTGTGAGATTTCAGAAGACCTGGGCCAAGGAAGGAAGGCTGGCCTCCTTCAACACTGAAGGGAAAATAAGACTCTGTAGTTGGCTGTCAGATACTCATGACTGACAAAGAAAAGAGAATAAGGAAAATCAGCCTTGTGCTATGCAATAAGGTTGTTCCTTCTTTGGCCACATACATAGAAGAATAAAAAGTTTTAAGATTCTGATTAGTCCTATCGGCTGCGGAGGTAGCCCCCTTTTTTTTTTACATTTGCTTCAAGTTAAAAAAAAAAAAAAAAAAAAAAAAAGTTCGTTTTGGAGGACCTCTGGAAAGAACTTAAATCAACCACGCGATGTTCAGAACAGCACCCCATCTGAAGCGTCACCCGACGTCACTCGTGGTAGAAAACCCAACGAGGACGTAGCTCAACAGTGCAAGTGGGACAAGGCCCCCGTGCTAGCGCTCCAGTTTCAAAAGTTTGACAGAATCGAGTCAGTCCAACATATTAAAGCAATTTTATAATTACAGTTTTTTCCGGGTGTTGGTGGGATTATTAGGGGTTCTGGACCCTTTTTTTTTTTCTTTTTTTTTTCCGGGGTGCCAACGACCCCCGACCGGTATGTGCCGACCAGCCAACCGGTCGGCTGGTCGGCATCCGACCAGTCAAGGGCCGCCGACAGTCGGGGTATGCAACACTGCTGTGATGTTTGGAATTGTGCCTTGGCTTTGGGTTCGTTTCTTCATGGGCCTCTCTCTCTCTCTCTCTCTCTCTCTCTCACACACACACACACACACACACACACACACACACACACACACACACACAGGGAGTATGCAGTATGCCCGGCAAATGTGCTGCAATGAGCCCAGACGTGATGACACTCGTCAACATTACCAGTCCCTAGGATTATCGATCTGCTGATGAAATGACAAACAATTGTAATATGTGTGATGATAGAATGAGGTGAGAATCATACACAGACGAAGGAGGAGAGAGGGAGAATAGACAAAGGAGAGAGAAGAAGACAACAGCCCACTTCTACTTCGGGTTCCTCCGCCTCCTCGCCACCTCATCAATCAATAGACTGAATACAATGTCTGAAGTTCTTCCTCAAGGTGCCACGTGGCACGTCAATCTGTCTACATCAGCAAATGGAGAGTATCGTCATCAACCAGGTATGTATCCTCGATAACCACAGTCTTGATCTCCTTCCGAAGTGACGAAGAATCAGAACAGCCTCATCAACCTCGCAGCCAGCCACGTCATCAATCATATACAGGTGGCAGCGGCCACGTCAGCAACGGCGCGTGGCAGCTGCCACGTAAGCATGCCCAGAAGACCATCGCCAGCCAGCACCTTGCCAGCCAGCAGCGCCTTGCTGTCCTCCTCTGCCAGCATATAGCCAGCGTCAAGCCAATGTCGCAATGTCGCAGCATAGCAACAGCGTCAAGTCCACGCGTGAAGTCAGCGTTCACGCAAGACTGAATGTTCTCCAGCCAGGAAGTCAACTCTTAAATAGCGTGGATGCGGGGTCTGGACCCCGGGTACTGAGGTCCTGCACCGTCCAGATCTTGATATGAATGAGGGCCCAGATCGGACCCCGGGTACTGAGGTCCTGCACCGTCCAGATCTTGATATGAATGAGGGCCCAGATCGGCCAGAAACTGTATTTCTCCCGCCCTGAATGCTGTCTGGGTACCTGCACACAACAAGTGAATGTATCCGTCCATAGGCCTGGGTGCGGTACCTTTGACTCTACAGTTGTCTTTGACTGTTGAATTTCCYTTGTGCTRCRTTTGGTCACACAGCCTCCTCGACAGACTCAGGCTGGGCATGTCTCGGTCACATAGCCCAGCACARACAAYTGAGTCTGTGTCTTACCGGGGGCAAAGTTCTGAGCCCCGGTCTGCTGTTGAACAGGGTTACTGCAGTGCGACCAGAAGGTATACTAATAGTAGCATAAATAATGCTCAGAGATGAGAGAGCATCCATTCCCGAGTGAATAGGGCTCTGATCAACGGTCCGTAATTGACTGTTCTGCACAGGGTGCCACTTCCGCATAGCAGAATTGAATTTTAGATCAGACTAATGAGGGGGTTGCCGTAAAGGGGATTGTACAGAGGAGATGGACGCGTTTTTCATGCCATGCCACTGGCAAGGAAATCCCTGTTTGAATCCCTTTCCGGATACAGACCTTGTATTTTCGACATCACAGAACAATTCAAAATTCAAGAGATCCAGCAGGATTAGCTTTTGTAACTGGGGAGGAGGAGTGTGTTGGGGGCAGGTGCCCGCACACGGATTGTGTCGAGGGTGGGGGTGGAGAGGAAATAGAGGCCAAGCGGCCTGGCTCAGCTGGTTGAGCTCGTTAACTGGTACACAGGAGGTCGTGGGTGCGATTCCCCACGGCATCCATTCAACTCCCCAGGACCCCTGTGTGGCATACTTCAGGTTCACCCAACTGAGAAAGTCGGCTTGTCCCTCCTGGTTGGTCGTGGAATTTGGTCACTTTCTGGCCCACGCCAGGAGTTAGGAGCGTGGGTGCTGCTCCCCACACAGAGCAGAGTTAGGTAGGTATAGAATCTATACAGTCGTATAGACCCATGACCTTAGGATAGTCAAGGCTAGTTTAGTAGATTTAAGGTATTATTGCGAGGACTGAGCCTCACGGGCCCCTAACAGGCATGCATGTGTTCTGCTGTGGGCTCCAGCAAGCCCTGTGCCGGCCCTAAGTGAAGGCGAGCCTGAATATCCACAAGACGCCTATTTTCGACAATTTTCCATATGTGGTTATACAGACAGCTGCAGCACGCCAGTTGGTTGCAGGGAAACGTGAGCCTCCAGGATCTTTCCAGAAAACAAGGACTGAGCTGTAACTGTTGAGACCAGGGCCAGGTGGCTGCGCCCTGGGCACACACAACGTGCGTCTGACACATCACGCAGCGGCCACGGACGAAAGAGAAAGCAGCATTGTCGTCACACAATCTCCGCGAGCCAATGAGAATGTGGCCAACCTTGGAGACTGGGAGGCTACCTATACGTGCCCAAGTGAAAAGGGCCCAGGCCTTTAACTGTAGAGGTGGGCCTGGGCGCAAGGACTGGGGCCCAAATGGAAGCTACTGGAAACTTCCCCAGCCAGGGCCAGGCAGACACACATAGGGGCTGCACTTTCCATAAAGGAAAGAGGCCAGCCCAGGCAGGGGCATTCTGGCCTTGATAGGCAATGCGGACATGCTGCTGCGTTGCTGCACTAGCATCTGCATGGGCCTGGTGGTCGGATGCACGCACGGGCGCTGAGGTGAGGGGCACTGCAAAGGCAGCGGGCGCACAGCAGCCATAGCCGGGCTGCAGGGGCGCAAGGCAGGTGATGGTGAAAGTGGTCTTCGGGTAGGAGGCGCATGATGTGGGGAGACGAGGGGTGATGATGAGAGGAGAGAGAACATACCTGGTGTATTTTGGTGATCGGCATTGGTGTTGACGTCACGTACATTGGTCTTCGACTTCAGAGTGATCCAGTTGCGAGAACGTAGATAGGCTAGATAGGCTGGGCGCTGGGCGCCAGACAGCAAGTGCGATGTTGCATGCAGTGTCGGTGTGACCAGAGAGTGGCGACATTGACATTCGAGTTCATTGTATTGCTCTCATTTGGACGGTATCTTGGTGCATTGCACTCTTTGCTTTGTTCAGGACTATCTGAGCTACTTTGTGATTTTGCAACTTGGATTTCTGTTTATCGCCTCGCTCA